GTCCTCTTAAAAGGGACATGGCTGAAATTACCTCAGGCTCCACCAAATTTTTAAAAACTCGAGGCTTGACTAGAATTACTCCACTGGTTTGAGTTATTCCCTGAAGCAAACCTATTGGCAAGACTGAGGTATTGGAGTCCTTTAAATAACACACCTTTTGAGATATTACCTCAGCCTCCCCTGCCTTTTTTACTCCTTAGAATACACGTCGTGGTTAAAATTACCACAGGTGCTATCCTTACTCCCCGAGAACAATAGGCTAGTATTAATTATCTAAAGAACTCACGCTCCCCTCCGTATCCTATAACTATAACAAGTCTCAGAATTACCTCAAAAGCTCTAAAGGCTCTGCCCAGCCTTGAGCTCGAGGGCTTGGGCCGCGGGGGCGCCGTTGAGATATTTTTTGGGCTCTCCGGCGCCCCGCAGCATCGTCCCCTTTCAAGGGACGAGAGACGCGGCAGCCGCTTCGGCAGCGCGCTCGCTAATTTGACACACAGCTGAGGAGCCCGCCGACTTTTAAATGCCCCCTTCCTTCGGGAGAGGAGAGGCCTCCCGGCCAATCCGAGGGACGGGTTTTCAGAGCGGCCAATAAACGGGCGAGGTAGGCGTGGAGGGAATCGGACCCGAGGGAATCGGGCGGGAGGGGCGCGAGATGGCATACGTGCGGGTGGTCCTCCGTTCCCGCCCTGGACCCCCCGCCGGGCTCGCCTCCCGGGGCGGTTGCCATGGAGACGCCTCATCAGGGCCAGGTGTGCCGCACAGGTGAGGGAGATTGGAGGCTGTGTGTGTGTGTTAATGCCTTCTTCTCGAAGCTTCGCTCCCTCTGGGGACTTTTCGCCCTGCCCGGCCATCCTTTGGACTGCATATCCCATCGGTCTCCCCCTGTGCATGAGAAGCCGGAGTAGGGTTTAGGGGGGCTTGCCTCCCCCACCCCCCCACTGCAAAGGCCCAGTTTTCAAAGTCACCCCATTATTTTTGCAACGGTGCTTTTTTAGCATTGAGAGATGGTGTGACTTGGGCTTGTACTGAGAATTAAAAGTCCCATCAGCCACCCCCAGGGTAGGGCTGTTGATAGGGACAGTCCCTTCTTGCCACAGAGAGCTCCCCCCCACCCCTTGAGCAGGTTCCCCCCCTGCTTTTTTAAAAAACAAATCTGAAAATTTAATAATTACAAAAAATAAAACAAAATGGTTATATGTACAGTGCTTTGGACTACAGTTCCCATTAGCCAGTCTTTTGCAAGAGAGGCAATTCCCCCCGCCAAAAAAAGGCTGGCTAATGGGAACGGTAGTCCAAAACATCTCTAAAATTGAACCCCTTTTTCCTGTTCCTTTGCATTTTTCTCCACCCTTGTTACAATCTTGCCAGGAAGCGCTTGGTTTTATTTTGTTCTGCAAATATTGAATGTTATCCCCCACCACCTTTTCTTTGTTAAGAGCAAAATCCCCAGACCAGTTTATTTTGCTTTCTAGGGATTCTGCTTAAATGTTATAATTATTTTGATACATGGTGTCTTGCCCTGGGAAAGAAATGTAACCTAAATTCAAAATTATTTCTTCCTTTTTCTATTATAGGAACTCTTCCCTCCCCCCACATTCCAGTTCAAAGTTTTCAAAAGCTTGTCTGAAAGTGCAAAATAATAAATGGCTGTCTTGGCTGCATTTCTTCATGGTTTAAAATGTGGTTTATGGAATTAACCAGATTTTCTGCCCTTAAATGACGCTGAACTATAAATGACCCATACAAGCTATTTTTGCACAGCACTCTGAAGTGGGTGACTGATTGTGTTGGGCAAACCCAACTATTGCAGAAAAACTGTCTTATTTCTACTTCATGTGTTAGAATAAAGTTGCAATGGAGAAACTGTGATCTTTTGGATATTGTATTACACAGACGGAGAGTTGGGGACTCCTGGTTTAGGAGGTCTTGGCAAGGGGATGGCTTTTTTTTAAAAAAAATTAACAAATCCACTATATAATAAAAATCCCACCCCATTTCCCATGGCAGCAGCAATCTACACAAGTTGCGCTTTTAATGAAGCTCCGCTCAAAATATTCCACCATGTTGCGCCCTCCAGACAGGCTACGATAATGGCCTTCAGAATTAACCAACCGGGTTTTCTTTTCTTTATTCACAAAAATATTCCAGAACTTTCAACAAACGGTTGTAAAAGATGAATACCTTCTTGTTAAGGAAAGCTGTTTCACAAAGCCATTTTATTTGGATAGGTGGAGGAAAAGGAATATTGTGCTAATGATTGCAGAGACCCCAACATTAAAACTTTCTCAGAAATTCTGTGTCTGGGCATGAAGGCAACGCTTTCAGAATTGGTTCTGATATGTTCTTGCTTCAAGGAATTGCGGTTGATTCTCAAAATACTTGGAATATGTCTGCTGTTCAGCCCGGTCAGTAGTTAACATAGCAAGTTGTGTTTTATTCCAAAGTTACAAAAAAAACCTCCCTGAAATAGTGTCAAATCTTTTGTTTGTTTCTAATTTTCTAGCTTATTTTCTCTCTCTTTTTAGCACCAACACTGGTTTCCATACAGAATAAAGGCTCTTTAAAAGCAGATCGAAGGATATCCAAAGAATCATTTCTAACGAAGTGTACTACATTAGCTCAAGATTACTGGAAAGATTCAAGCTGTTAATTTGTAGAATTTTTTTTTTAAATGCATGCATTCAAAAACATTCATTTCTTAGAAGTCACAAATGTTTCAAAAAGACAAAAATCAGAATACTTTTCATATCAACCGTTATCTAATTAGAACTGTTTTCACTTCCAGATAGACGTGTTCCCTAAAGCGCTCGTGATGTGGACCAAAACACAGTCATGATTAAAAACATTATTTCCACGGATGGACCGAGAAACTGTTCTCTTAATGAATGAGCCACCATTTTAGACATCCAAGATCCCAGCTCTTCCCCAGTCTCAATTAATTGTCCTATTTACATAGGATAAAATTAAATTTGGGGAAAAAAGCGATTTGGTTTCTTTTGAGTCCTCTGTCCGGGCGTATTTTCTCCCCACTTCTCTGAAGTTGCAAGCGGAAAACGATTTTAAACATCGTAATAGAAATCTAATTTTGTGTAAACTGTCTTGCATCCTTTGTCAGAATAGATCCGCTCCTCTTTGGGGAAATAGGTCATCTCATCGGCCACCCGAGAGACCACATCTTCATTGACCGCGTGGCCCCGAGATTCCAATTCAGACCTGATGCACATTTTCACGTGGCTGATTTCCAGAGGCAGGAATGGGATGAAGTAATCAATGACATTTCGATCGATCAGACTGCTGTGCCAAAATCCACCTGCAAAAAAAAAGCACGTTGCCTTGAGTGGGATTCCTTTGTAAAGCGATTAAAAGAAAAGCAACTATGGGCAGTCCAGTATTTGAGGGGCTGCCACAAAGAAGAGGGGGTCGACTTACTTTCCAAAGCCCCAGAAGGCAAGACAAGAAGCAACAGATGGAAACTAATCCAGGAGAGAAGCAACCTAGAACTGAGAAATTTCCTGACAAAATAAATGAGTGGAAGTACTTGTCTCCAGAAGTTGTAAGTGCTCCATCGCTGGAGGTTTTCAAAACAGATTGGAGATAATGCTATGCTATGGATAACAGATTTATCCATAATGGTGTGAATTCTGCTTGTGCAGGGAGTTGGACTAGAAGACTTCTGGGGTCCTTTCTAAATCTGTTATTCTGCTTTTCTCTGAAGCAACTGAAAGCAGGACAAGAAGCAATGGGTGGAAACAAATGATAAATAAATGTGTTACTCACTATTTTTGTTATTAAACACAGAATTTGACAATGATTGTTGCAAAACATGCAGAGTCAGCTCTTCCCTCTTCTTTCCATTCTTCCAATAGTTGAGAGCCATTTCGGTTATTTTTTCAGCTCCGGCATTGCTGAAGGAACAGCATTAAAAAAAAAAAAGACTTGTGACTCTTTTTCACACTTAAAAATCTTGCAGTATCCTCATGGTCATGTCATGCTCCTGTCAGAATCTGACTTGGAAGAAGCCGGACAACTGACAGGGAGTGGGATTGTGGCTCCGCTGGCTGTGGAAGACACTGGGGAAGGGCAAAGTCCAGCTGGGCAGAGCAGGGGAGAGGGAGAGCAAGGGAGAGGGAGTTCAGAGGAAGACCTAGGCCCACCCTTTCTTCATCCTAGGGCACGCAGGGAGAAACAGAGAAGAGAGCAATGTGGGTTGCATGGCTTATGGGGGAGGAAAGGGTCCTGATCCCCTTCATGGTAACAGTGTAAAAAAGGCAAGCTGCATGCAGCAAGTTGTTGAGAGCAAACGTGAATTTCTCTCATACCATCTCTTATATCAACAAACTGTTGTAGAGAACTACCTGTATACCTGTAATTCAGTTCAATGGCTGCCCCCCCCCCCTTTCCAATTAGCAACAGACATTCTGGTCCCAATTGCGGCTATAAGTTCAGGACTACCCGCATTTGCTGGGGAAATATTTGAGAAGGACAGAAATACAGAAGTGACACTGGTACATAAGCAATAAAGGGACAAAAATTAGGTTTACAATAACCCGGATTTTTTAAAAACTAGAATCCTGAAATCTAGGAAACGTTCTCTCCAGCAAATTTGTTTTAAAATATACATTTTTGTTGTTGTTGTTGCTGTCGACCCAGCCCTGGCATGGTGCCTCACCTGAGGAAAATGAAAATCGCTTTTCGATACGAGATGCCATCTATTTCTTCATAATATTCCAGGAAAGGCTTGATGGAGTCTATGAGTCCAGCGTGCATTTTATCCATCTCGTCAAATATGAAGACTGACCTTGCGCAGGCGCTCACATTGCCACGAACCCATGTTTGCAATTGGTCCTGAGAGATTAAAAGCAAAGCTGAACTGAAGGAGCCCTCCCAAAAAAAAGCAGAAAAGGAAACTAAAAGGCATAATCACACTCCCCGGCAATCCATACCCAGATGACCAGAGATTAAAACCAAGATTAATAGTAGGTCAACACTGAAGTGGCCTAGAGGTGGAGTTCTTGCCTCACAATCAGGAGGTTGTGAGTTTGATCCTACGTAGAGGCAGATACTTCTCTCTCTGGGCATACTGAGAATATATGTGCTGAACAAAACTCTGTATTGGTGACAGGAAAGGCATCCGGCCAGTGAACACTCAGCTCCAGTTGCCCAGACTCCATCCCGCAAGGGATTATGGGGCCATTAAAAGAGGATGATGATCAATAGACCAACAATCAAGAAGTCAACAAAACAAGGAACTACCAACTCAAACAAATAAGGTAAACAGCAGCCCAATCAAGGAACCACTGAGAACAGTCTCACCGACACTGACAAGGCTTGTGTATAAAACGAAAGCAGTGCTACCTCACCACCACTGATGATGTTACCTAGTTTGGTAAAGAAATGTCTTTCAGCTCACAAAAGGCAATCAAATGACCCCCGAGTCCGACTTTTGATCACATAACTTGGGGAGGCCAGCAAAGGCGGTGCGACAAACAACCAGGGCCTTTCGAATGGTCCCTAAGTGAACTTGTTGTAAGTCGAGGGTTACCTGTTACTGAGGAAAACAATGGGCTTGCCTGCAGGGTCCTCCGGATCAGCTCACCTTGTACTGACTGATGTTTTGCTGGTGTGGGAAGTGCAGCGTGGACACAAACTGGTGGACGTACTTGCTCTTGAGCCCTTCGTCGTAAAGGCTTTCCGCCACAATCTTGCTGACGAAGTTTTTGCCCGTCCCTGTCCATCCGTGCAGGGAGAGCGCCAGGGGTTTCTTCGGGTTTGGGTTCGTCAGAAACCCCATCACGGCTTTCACAACCACCTCCGACACCAGGTGTTGGCCGAAGACTTTTTTCCCCAGGTTGTCCTTAAGATCTGCAGTGGGAAGGGGAGGAGAAGAACGGTGGGAGAAGCCAGAAATAAATAAATTAAAAAAAGAGCGATCACCTGAAAGTTTTCTGCAGAAACAAGAGTAATGTTTTACCTACTTTCTGAGGGGAGATCAATAAAACTCATTAAAAAAATGTTTTAAAACCACTTAGAAAAAAGCGGTGAGAGAGTACGGTGAATCCTTCACTTGCAACCATTCCTTTAGCAACTGTCCAAAGTTACAGGAGCACCTGGGAATAAAGCGAATTATGACCGTTTTTCACACTTAGGACCATTTGCAGCCTCCCCATGGTCACCTGATCAAAATTCAGACTCTCGGCTGAGCAAAGCCAAGGGGGAAGCCGGATTTGCTTCACAGTGGTGTAATGTAACACCTGCAGTGATTCTCTTAAGCGTGGCAAGAAAGGTCATAAAACGGGGCAAAAATTCATTTAATGTCGATCTTGCTCAGCAACCTGAATGTTGGTGGTCGTAAGTCGAGGACGTCCTGGTTAATCACTTGCTGCGGCGCCCCGCCCACCTCCTCTGACGTCAAAGCGCCCTCCCCCTTCCACGTCCCCAGCGGCCCCGCCCCTTCCCACAGCCCTGACGTCACCCACCTCTCCCGACCTGTGCTGCAGGCCTTTCCACGCAGCACTCGGCGAAGTAGCAATAGAGCCTCGGAAGGGAGATGATGCCGGTGAGGGCCGAGGCGGCGCCGGCCACCGCGATGCTCAGGGTCATCGGGTCCATCGCCCGCGCCGCCGGGCCCAGCTGGCACAGCACCAAGGCCAGGCCCCACACCGCCCCGGGCGCTCGGAGAGGCTTCATCGCCGCCCGCAGGCACACTTGGGCCGCTGCCTAGTTCACCTCAGCGTCGCTTTTCCGCTTCCGCCCGAGCGGCTTCCGGCTCCGCGGGCGCCATCTTTGCGTCGGGCAAACTAGCCCGGCCGGGAAGGCCATTGACTGTCGGAGACAGAGGGGGCGTGGCTTTGCTTCCTCTGCTTGCAGCCCGTCGGGGTTTTCGCCTTCTGGGTCTTCGCACAACCAGTAGACCCGGGTCAGCAAGCCAAATCGCGCGTTTTCAACGTCACCCCCGACCCGCAAGTCTTGGATGCACGTCCACCTGGGCGGCCAAGTACTGACACGCGTTCCAGCCCTCGTGTGAATTGCAAGAAATTCTCTTTTTTAAAAATTGAGGGTGACCTACTTGTGCCTGCTAGGGCCTGGTTTTGTAAAAGGATGAATTGCAGGGTGGTTTTGCTCTGGGTCTGATCCCCAAATATATATATTTATTACTCCCATTTAAATAGCTGCCCATCTTCCATATGCGCTACAGGAATCTGAGTGGCTTGCAAACAATTAAATATACAAAGAACAATAGAACTATATAAAGAGTAATAAAAGCAAGGAAGGCATATGAGAACATCTAAAAAGCCATCATTTGACTGATTGACTGACAGATGTGACATTAATTCAGTGTTGACTCTATGCTGGAAGACTTCAAGGACCAAGTTGTGGGTGCTCCATCACTGGTGGCCTTTAAGAAGAGACCGGACAGCCATTTGACAGGGATGGTATAGAGTCTCCTGCTTAAGCAAGGGGTTGGACTAGAAGACCTCTGAGGTTCCCTTCCAGCCCCTATGATTCTATGTTCTTATCTGGAGAGGACCAAGTAACTTATTTGAAATCTTTGGTGGGATGGCGAGAATTCAAATTTCCATCCTGTGTCATTGCATGCAGAAAACACAGAAACAGACAAACCCTTCAGGGCATCCTCTGCTTAAAATACAAACCTTTACTGCTGCACATGCAATACACATTTCGGTATGAAAAACATCTAACAGTGACTATAATGCAAGGCAGTTTCGTGGAGTAAAATGGAAGCAAAACGAACAAGAAGTGAGAAACGTTAGAAATGCAGCCCAGTCTCTGAGAACCAAACAAGCTCTCTTCAGTATCTCCGGTTCATCTTCTTAAACTTTTCATAGTGATAATCATCGGTGGCTTTCTCATTTGGTGGGCGCTTGCGATTCGGCGGAGATTCTACAAAATTTAGAAAGAGACATCCCGAAATAAAGATTAGCCATTGGAAAGAGATAAAATACAAGGAAAGCTGCAATATATCTCACTGTTTGTGCCTAGCGGCTGGCAGATCGAGTTCTGTTTTTTGTTGGAGGCAATATGCAAACGGCTTCGCGAGGGCTGTAAAGCGGTATATAAGTCTTAAGTGCTATTGCTATTATTTAGTACGACAATGCTGTGAACAGTATGCTCCAAATTGTCATCTTTATACTATGAAAACCCTCCTGTTTCGGTGTTTGTAACCTTGGCCGAAACGGTGCATTGTAGAGCAACAATTTTTGAATCCACAGACCTCCGATAGGCCGAATTAAGGAATGTGTCCAAAATCCAGGATATGTTATTCCCGCAGGATTGAAATTTCAATGATCTTTAGATAGTGTGGCCTTGTGGGATCAGCCATCATTAGGTAATTGTTCTTTCCAACGCTCCCTGCCAGCTTTTCCCAAAGGAAGTTGGTTTCTATTTCTGCCCTCTTGAAGATCGCAGCAAAACAATTTATCCACCAGCTTGTTGTGAGAACTAGACCAAAGTAGCTAGATAACCAACCCCTCAGTATACATGACTTACTTTCCATTTCAGGTTTTTCAGTGTCTCCCACTCTCAGGGGCCGAGCCTTAGGTTCCTCTTTATTTCTTCTTACCGGAGCATGTATCTCTTCATGATAAACTGAAAAAGAGATAAAAAGATCAAGTTCACTACTGAGGCGTATAAACCATTTATATTATCACTATCGTTATCAATAAAAATATTTTATGGTTTTTCATCAGGCATGTGTTTAGGCCACCAGGTTCCATCCAACAAACTCAATTCATTCTAACCTCAACCTTGTTCCAACATCAACCAATCCTGCTATTTGATTATGTGTCAATCAGCTTTTATCCAGGACAGTGAGCTGAAATCCTGTGGTACTCACATCGGTTGTGTTGGACATAGTTCACCGCCATATTGGTGGGGACAAAGGAAGTTTCGCTGTCTTTCTTCTTATTTTGCTGTTCAGCCAGCAATCTTGCCTTTGCATCTTCGGTCGAGATTATGTTTTTTATCTTGGCCCTATGACCAAAAAGAAACATCAGGCTGAGATATTTTCAAACTTGCAGGGAAGAAATGTAGGACTGATGATAGCTCTAAAGAGAACAGCTAACGATCATTGTGAAATGAAGAAGGGGTAAGTTGACTTGCTCTCTGATAATTCCTCTCTGGACAAGGAGAGGACTTGAGATTACCCAAAATTTCTTTTAAAGGAGAATATTTGAAGCTCAGACTTGAAATGAGGGGTCCTTGGTGCTCTCTCTGTTTGGCTGTTTTCTTGCAGATGTTTCATTATCCAAACTAGGTAACTAACACTGACAATGTTGCCTAGTTTGGTATTGAAATGTCTGCAAGAAAACCACGCTCAGAGCTACTGTATATAAATGGGACAAACCCCACACTCACTAGCACTGATGATGTTGCCTAGTTGGGTAATATCTGTAAGAAAACAACCAAGCTCAGAGAACACCAAGGTCCCCTCATTTCAATTTCAAATATTCTTTAGTGGATTACAAACTGTCAAACTTACTCGATTCCAAGGTCCACTTCGGGGATCCCACTCAGCATCTGATTGGACAGCATTTCTTCCGTCTTCTTAGCCGAAGAGACACGAATACTCTCCGGGAGCTCGTACAGACAATCCTCAGCATTCTTCTGCTTTACTTTCTTCTCCTCGTTTTCCATAATCCCCTTCCTCTTCTTCAGCTCGGTTTCAATGTATTTCATCCTGAACGAAAGCCAGCTGGGTGACTTTGGGCCACTCCCTCTCGCTCCGTCCAACCCACCTCACAGGATTGTTTTTGTGGGGAAAATAGGAGGAGGAAGGTATGTTGGATATGTTCGCCACCTTAAGATATTCGTAAAAATAATATAGGAGGGAGATAAGCCAGCAAGCAAATAAATAAATGATGGCAAGTCACTTACATGTCCGCATCTTCATCTCTCCTGTTGGTCTCGGCTGAAAACGAGGTGCCAAGATTGAGGTCTTCCTCTTCACTGATCCTATAAAAGGGCAACAACGATGACTCTAAGCACCATCAAGACGAAAGAGCCAGAAGCAATGGAATTAATCTTCGGTCAACCCTCAAGCCCATCTGTCATAATCCATAGCCCCAATTCAAAACATCTAAGAGGCTGTGCCTCAAGGAACAAGCTACTCCTCAAGTCACACAATTGGGGCCCAAAAGGGTCCAGGCTCACCTCTCCTTCCCTCGCTCTTTCAACTTCTTCATGTCCACCATTCCGCCTGACTTGATCTTGAAGGGATCATCCTGGCCATGTGGAGAGAACAAACGGAGAAGATACATTTTGCAGATGCTGGAATCCGAGGGCCATAAATGCTGATTTACGCAACTGGGCTTCCTCAGTCAACAGGATCACCTAATTCCTCTCAAATCATGAGTTGTGAAAAACCACTGTTAAGGGTACACCGAAATGGGTTGTGTTTTCACTTCAGGGAAGGGAGGGATGTTTACAGGCCTCTCATCTCAAGGCTTCCCACTCTGATCTTACCACCAAAGTTGTCTCTTCTTGTAGCTTTTCTCCGACAAGCAAGGCTGCAGCACTTGGGGGGGGAAAGCAGACAAGGACGAAGAATTAGGATGATTTAAAAGAACTTTTCGTTTTTATCTCAAATCTGGTCACAATGCAACCCAGTGTCACTTTGGGTTACAGTACATTAGGAGAGTTTGATATTCCATTCCTTCCTTGAGAATACTTGTTTTCAATGATTGGCGTCCAAGAGTCGGGACAGGTAGCCCTCAATTTATGACCATAGCTGGGAGCAGAATTTCCATTGTTAAGTGAGTTGTGCTTGATTTAACCACCTTTTTATTGGGTCTGTGATAACTCGCCACAGCCAACTCGCCATAGTTTAATTATTGGAACTTTATATAATATTAATTTGAACTAATTACAGTGAACTACACTCATACTAATTTGAACTCATGGTTAAATTATTTGAAATAATTTGAATTTTGAGCATGTGTCCACAAAGATGCTATGACCATCCTAAGTGGAAGGATCAGCTGTAAGTCACTTCTTTTCCCTCAGTGCTATTGTACCTTTGAACAGTCGCTCAATGAATGGTTACAAATCAATGACTACTTATACAGCACAGTGCTAAAGTAGATTCAGGGAACCCCAGGTTCAAATCCTTGCTTGTTCTTGAACTCATCATGGACTCCAACAAGCCCTGATCCACAAAACTATAATTGGTTGGCTCTGTGCAACATGCTGGTGAAGTTGTGGGCAGAATCTAACCATTCTTAGCCAAATGGCAGAGACGAGGACATACCTTAATGTTCACAAGGAATGGTAAATGTATTTTAGAATCTTAATTTCTACGGATATAAACGGTTCTCAACAAAAACCTAGAATTTCAGTCTGTGCTTGCTACAAAGATTACCTTGACCTTAAAACTCCATGGAAAAATTAGTATTACCTTACTCCATTGGGTCTCCTTCTTAAACTCTGCACTTCCTTCGCTTCTTCTAGTTTTAACCTGGAGCGGGATCATAGAACAGAAATAATTAAATACCAAGATCTGGGGAATTCTGGGAGTTGGAGTCCACACATCATAAAGGTGCTGAGATTGAACCTGGTTTTGGCCTTGATCGTTTAAAAAAAATGATTTGCAAGCAAAGCAAACTTGTGCATATTTTATTCTTAGATTTTATGTTTTAAATTTTATGTCATATAGTACATCTTATTTTAATTGGGGTGTTTCTGACACGAATAAGTAAATAATAGATAATAATAAATGATATTTTTTTAAAAAAATAATAGAATAATAATAAATAGAATAATAATAATAGAATAATAATAGAAGCAAAGTTTCAACCTCTTTTCAACCTCGCCTCCCTCCCCAATATTTCATTCCCCCCCCTTCCCCCCCCGGCACCCACCGAACCTCCTCGGCCACCAGCTCATCCTCCTCTTCCTCCTCCGAGTCGGCCTTCCTCCGGCGAAAACTCTTCCCGGCCGGCATAGTGAGAGACCCTGCCCGCCTCCCACCGCCTCCAAATCGATTTTGCTTCAAGGTGGTCGCTTGGAAAGCGCTTCCTGTTTTGCAACCTGGGGGGCGCGCGTCGCGTGACGTCGACACCACGCGCCGAAGCCGCCCGCTGTGGCTCTAAGTTGCCCTTAGAAGGGCAGGGCAAGGGATTCTATAGAAAAATATAGATGGATGGTACAGGGGAGAAAAGACGGGTCTCCTTAATTTTTTTTTAAACCTGTATTTTAATTTATTTTATTAGATTGTCAGAAGGAGCCCTAATTTGCTCCAAAGATGGAAATTTCAAACTGGCATTTTATTTATTTTTTTGCAGCGAAGCCACAACAGCCCTGCGTGTGCCATTGCATTCGCAGAAGGGAATAAATATCCTGGCTGGTATTGCATGCAAAATTGTAAAAGATTATAAGGCAGGTATTCAATGCAGGCTCCATCACGTATAAAAAGCAGGCGAGACGGGAGGATGGTCTGTCTGCCCAGGAGGCAACATTGAGTGTCTTGTTTCTTAGCAATAGAGGCGGTCCTTGACTTACAAAAGTTCATTTAGTGTCCATTCAAAGTTACAGAGATTTTCAGAGTTACGACCTTTGCTGCATCAGGCACAGGGCAATTGACTCATACTTACGACCGTTGCTGTGTGTGTGTCCCAAGATCACGGGATCCCCATTTGCAACATGCAAAGTCGGGGTGGTGGTGGTGGATTCATTTAACAACTGGGCTACTTACAAATAAACTACAGGGATTCACTTAGCGATGGAGGAAAGGAAAGTTGTAAAATGGGGCAAAACTCACTTAAAAACTGTCTCGCTTAACAGCAGACATTTGGGGCTCAATTGTGGTCGTAAGTCGAGGACTACCTGTAGTTAAAAGCATGCATTAAGGTCATTCATTTCAGAATGATCCATAACAAAGCGCTGAGTTTTCAATCTATAGAGAGGCTTTGGAGCCTGTGGGGCCCCCAGAGGGCATCTTGCTGAGATTTAGAGTGGAAGTCTGTGGGGTCTCTAGAGGGCATCTTGTCCACAATCTATAGAGACATGATTAGAGCCTATAAGCCCACCAGAGACCACCTAGTCCACCGTTGAGAAGAGAAACCGAGTCTTTGGTGCAACCAGAGGTCATCTTGCCCTGTCCCTAGACAGGAAACAGCCTGTGGGGCACCCTGAGGGCATCTTGCTTACTGTCTATAGGAGAATAGGAGCCTTTGGGTCCCCCAGAGGTCATCCTGCCCACCGTCCAGGAAGAAAGTGGAGTGCCTGGGACATCCTGAGGGCATCTTGCCCGACTCCTCCCCTTCAGGACTGCCTTCTCTTCCGAGGCCCC